AGAAAACACATTGAACAGACCCGTCACAAGCCCAAAAATTTACTCCCAGAAAGAGAAATATAGGATAAAAAGCATCTCAATAGCCACAAGAAAGACGAGACCATAAAGGTTTAGCAGATTAAAGATATTATTTCGACGGTGCAGTTTTAAAAAAAGCGTCTGCCACATTTTTTAAATCGATTTTTCGCTTTCCCCTGTGACCGCGAATCTTTCTCCATAACACAGTATCTTTTCGATGTGAGAATTTGATGGTAAATAAATTATTTATAGACCCATCCTCACGTCGAAAAGAAATAGATCTAGGACGGAGAAAGATCTGCAAACATGGGAGAGCAAAAAAAAGTAGATTTTAGAGAGAAAACAAAAACGTTGGCATTCTGTTCATTGAACTGGATCGTCGATTTCTACTTTGATATTTCTAACACATGTCAAATTTTTCTGCACTTTGTTCAATAAAAAATCGATGATTTACTAACACGTCCCAAAATAGAAAATATGTTTTGAAAAGTTTAAGCAAAGAATGGGGTTTCAATTATGAATCACTTCTTTCTAAACACGAATGCCGAAACATCGGACTGCAACTACAGCACATCGAGCACTCACTCGATAGGCACCGAATCACTCCATCAGTGTGAAGCCACGGATCCCTTCTTTTGCCTTGAATTAAATCTTGAACTTAAAAACCTCCATCGAAATTTAATCTATATCGACCTATTTGTTGCTGTATCATTAATTTTAGATTACTTCGCGTTGTTTCAGGAATGATTAAGATGTTGATACATCTCGTTAAAACAGTCTTTTCTTTAATGTTACAGTATATTGCAACGATCCCTTTTGTTTCTGTATCTTAGTATTGATGTGGGTTTTTAAATCGAAAGATAACGATGCTAATTAAATTGTGCCTTTCTTTCCGAAAGACAAAGGGGCGAAATGTAGCTTCTAAGACTAATGTCTTTTTCAAAAGGTTATTGTGTTTCTATTCCGCAATTTGAACTTGAAAAAGTTATTTTGTTTTGGACTTATGAAACTTTAATATGATATTATAGTATTTTTGGTAGATAATTCCCTAGGGTGTCCACCTACCTGGGCCGGGCTATCAGAGATGGACGGTAATTCCTAGGCCAGGGCTAGTAAATAACCTGAGAGTGTAATAATATGATCTTCTATTCTATCGATTTGAAGGGCGCACCGTGAGCTCTATTCGTATCATATTGGACCACCGAGCGCAAAGCCCTGAGTAAAAATTCCGGAAGGGTTGTTTTTTTCTCTGAATTTGGACTGTTTGGTGAGTTCTTGGGGATTTCCAAAATTTGGCTCAGTCCTATTGGGGATGAAAGTTGACTTCGGAGGTCCCACTGGTTAAATAACGCCACAGAGTCGAAAGGGACATTAACCTATTTTATAACCAATACAATGGCTAGTGACGAATCTCACCTTCTGTCTGATGTAATCCAATTTCTCCCTTAGCTCAAGTTGCCCTTTCATGAATGGTGGAAACATCCTGGCTCCTACACTATCTATATTGTGTAAGTCTATCAATGAGTCAATCATACTGGCTTTGTCTCACAATCGAGGTATGCTTAAAATGTATCCGATTTCGTTAAGATCTGAAATTTGTTGAAAGGGAGACTTTTTATGTGCCGGTTGAAATGTTTATCAACATAAAAGCGGAGAGAATAGAAAAGTATCTGTAGTTGAAAACTGAACGGATACAGAATGCATGATGTATTCGTAAGCGCAGCGAGGAGGCCTAAAATATTCGTTTGAGGTACCGTGCCTTCTAGATGAAGCTATTATCATCAATCACCCATGACTCTGTCGGGATAGTTCTTCCGGTAATGACTCACGGCTCCCGTTAGTGAACCAACGACTTCCGTGTACTTGTTGTCACGGTACATCTGGCCTTTATGGTTTCGAACTCGCGGTTATGAACACTTCAAGGTGAGCAAAATAACTGTTCTTCCATCTGCACTTCACACTAGCTAGGTAGCCTCTTTTCGTTTTGTATATTATTATCATCATGTTAAGTGCAAGAGGGAAAGTGGGGGGGGGGGGGGGGGA